CGTCTAGGACGTCACAAACCTCCTTTCATACTTTATTTTTCCCTTGAAAAACTTAGTCAACGCAAGTTCTTAAAAACTTCCTTGATTTCTCCTTCCTGTTTGCAGAATATTTTGAAAAATGTCAAGCCGTACATTTTACTTATTTTTCCTCGAGAGAAAAAAAAATGAAATTTCAATGCAGATACAATGTTTCGCACTTTAGCCTTCGATATTATACGTAACCACAATCCCCCCCCCCCAAAAAAAAAAAAAAAAAAAAAAAAAAAAAAAAAAAAAAAAAAAAAAAAAAAAAAAAAANAAAAAAAAAAAAAAAAAAACATTTTGGTGATGGCTTACCGAATCAACGCTGAGGAACATACGCATGAGCAAAATGACTTCCGAAACGATATCCTCAAACCACATTTCGTAGGAATATCACGGAAAAAAGACTGCCGAAAATTCGCACAATGACAACTGACACGAGTGACGAATAGTAACTCCACTGATTGTAAAACACAGCAAACTACCAATCTGGACAGAAAAAGTAGAGGCTTGCAGATTTAAACTTTCAGCGAATGAAAAACAACATGAAAGTAAACTTCGACTATTCACTGCACCTTCCATATTCACGGGATAATTCACTGAGAAGAAATATGATAATAAAGTACCGAACACGAAACTACACTGATGGTAATGCACCTCAATTACACGTTTATCACACGCGGTCCACTCAAGCTCACACCCTACAGCTGCCCAACTTCGACTAACCGAACCACCAGAAGTTCCGAGCCCTCGAGGTCTTCAACGATTTCCTTGTTCTCCTCAAAGACAAAAGAGTGGCTTCGATTTCCAAAATATCCCTACATTTTGGGATTCCCAGGTAAAATCGGCACAAGCAAACAAAAGAAAATTCCTTTATTTACCTGAAAACCATAATGATTACAACCATTAATGTAAACTTCGAGGGATTTCACCTTTGCACTATTCAATTTTTCATTCATTCCACCTTTTATTCCAGTCCGGCGTTGTCAGATCGTGCGATAATGTGAATATTTTACATCAGTTTGAAAGGAGAAAAGTAGTGGAAAAACAGCATATCTGGCAACAGTAGAGTCTGGAAAGGACGAGAGGCTTCCTTCTTGGGAAAACCCATGATTTACTCGGAAATGTCATCAAAACAAATTGGTTCCGTTTGAAGCATCAAATGTATTCTAGGGAAAGCTTTTTTAAAAAAATAATAATCGTAATGGACATAGATCCTACAAAAAAGAAAAAAATCAAAAGAAAAAAAGGCGAGAATAAAACGTGAACAGTTCTATTTTTCTAATTTCTTAATTTTAGACACTTTTTAGCATGATAAAAGTTCACCCCATGCCTATCATTATCATCAGAACCTTTTTTTTTTTTTTTTTTTTTTTTTTTTTTTTTTTTTTTTTTTTTTTTTTTTTTTTTTTTNAAAATGAGTCATTTATTCCCTTTTCAGTGTAAACTTGTAATTTTTCTTCAGTAACGGTGTAAGGTACCTCCGTTTGCATTTCAAAAATCACTTATTCATTTCTAGCCTCAAGCCGACGGTGAAACTACCAAACCACGTATTTCGTTTACGGTCTTTAAGAATATCCGCTTCTGTTTCATTTTTTTAAGGGAGATCAATGCAACATCATTCCTTGAAATTTTTTCAGAAGTAGCTTAATATTTTTATGCATTCTGCAGAATATTTTCTAATAGGGTGAGGTAAAAATATTTTGAGAGTCTCATTTAAATCACTCACGAAACAATTTTTAACGCACGTCCTCTTTCGTATGTTGGATAAATATTTGCACTGAATTTCGCAATAAGAAACTACAATTTCTGGCGCATACATAAAAACGCCCATTTGAATATTAAAACTAATAGCATAAATGTTGTTTATAGAATGATCCACAAATTTTCGTTCCTAATTGCAAGTTGTAGTCCTTTTAAAACGGCTGCGATAGGATTGCGCGAATGCCCTCTTTTTTACCCTTTTGAAGATGCATAATAGGATCGCGCGAATTTTTCTGGAATTGAAAACTCACATTTTTGCGCGGATATTCAGTGTTCAACGAGGAAGCGTTAATCTGGCAACCATGGTAGTTAGTGGTAGATATCGACATTTCGAAGACTGTTCAAGCCCTCCTCACTTACGGTCATGTCTCTCTTCGATGGATAGCCCTCGCAGCACGAATGGCCCAGAGAGCTCTCATAGACGATTAAAAAGTTAACCAGGGCCTTTTAGCTGACATGCCAACCACTGAAAAAAACTACATGTAAAAAATCGTAGAAAAACCATGCAAGTTTTTTAAGAGATGGATGGATTCAAAACCTGACGGATGCACTCGAATGAAAGCGTATATTTATCTCTGATTGCATCGTTATGCACAAATTTTATGTTTTATTTTTAATAAATGTTTTTAAAAAGCTACGCACAGTTTTTCTAAAAAGTTTCCGCAAGTTCATCTACATGATCTCAAATAAAAGTATCGAAAATTTCGACGCGATATTTTTGTTCGTTCTATTTTCTTTTAATGTAACAAGGAAAAAAAAAAAAATCAATATCATCCAAGTCTCTGAATAGTTACCATGAAGATACGCATGTTACCTTTAATTATGGTAAAAACTGGAGCAGAAAGCCGATAATGATGACATAGCATGCCTACAGTCTTATAGGTGCTATAATAAATATGCGTGTCACTCCAACTGGCCGTTTGGCGCAATGCGAGAAGTATTCATGCAGTCTTGTAGGCGCTGATATGGGCCCTATGCCGAACGCACTGTTTGGCGCAATGCTTGAAGTATTCCTAAAGTCTTGCAGGCGCTAATATACGTTTAACGCTGGCACACCTTAGAGCGTCCCGTAACTGGACCACATTTTGCAATTACGATATCGTCCTTCATTTCTGGAACGGTCTACCTGCGTAAGGAAACTCTCGGCACATATCGACGGTGAAACTACCAAACCACGTATCTCGTTTGCGGTGTTTAAAAATCTACGCTCGCATTTTATTTTTTTGAAGTAGATAAAATCAATATCATTCCTTGAAATTTTCACAGAATTTTCTTCGCACGAAGAGGAAAAATCACAGAAATTTTCAAGACTGGACGTTAAGTAGTTTTTCATTTAAAAAATAAAGCATGACAGGAAGTCTGCGACGTCGCAAACCGAGATACGTGGTTTGGTAGTTTCACCGTCGATATGATGTTTCTAATTTGAGCCAGAAATTGCAGTTTCCTTATTGCAAAATCCAGTACAAGAACGGATCTTGAGTTTGCGGTTTAGTTTCAGTTAAAAGTCACCTTCCATCCAAGTTATCAAGAAACCTTCAAGAAATCAGTGTATTTCACGTTTTCTCGAAATTGGACATTTGGCTGTCACTCTCAAATAAGCCATTCATGCTAGACTTTAACTTGGTCGATTACCTAAGTCTCTCACTTCTTAAAGCTGACTGAATTCACAATTTTTACTTCAGAGCCCCGCAGACTGCTATAAGCGCTTCTCTAATGCTTTCCGCTGCATATTTCACTCTCCCCATTTTTGCCCAGCCGAATAAAACGGCCAAACGAGCTTTTAATGAATGAGCTTCGTTTTTGTTTTTCCTTTTATTGCTTCTGAACGGTGCAATTATAACCGCCGGGAAATGCTCGTCGGCTGGAGTCAATCACTCAAAGGGACTTGCTTCTTTGCAACGGCGTGTTGAAAAATGCTGTTTTGAAAGAATAATCATTTTTAAAAGTGTAGTCACCATCCGGATAATTTTGCCGAAACTTTTCCTAATGCATTCCGGCTGCGGAATTAAAACGGGTGGCGATTATTCTCATAGGTACTCGGAGAGCTCGCGGGAACCGTGTTTCTTACAAAAACGCACCCTAAACATTGTATTTGAATCATTAAAATGTATTGAATCTTCCAAAACAGCGGCCGGTTAATGTTAAAAATTGCTGAAAATTGTTTTTTTTCAAAAGTCTAACTTCAAATTCGTTTTCTGATGCTGAAATACCTCCACATATGAAGTTATAGGCAAATCCATCAGCAAAAGCTGAGTCGCCAATTTTCGGCCATTTTGATCTTTAACCGGTCCTCATTTTGAAACGGTTTGAGATATTGACGTTGGGGTTGCACAAAAAGTTTTCTTATTTATACCCTTTCGATCAAGGATGGAGGTCTTTCTGTAGTTTCTGTTTGAAAAAAAAAGTTGGATAATCTTTACCCTAAATAGGGAAAATGTCAGAGGGAGTGAAAGGGACTTCTAATTCACACTGTAAAATTACATATTGATACATTAATTAATGATCACATATTCTCATCATATCACTCGATGAGCCTTTCAAATGAGAGATGAAAGACAAAGGTAACTAGAGAGAGAAAAGTTGCCTCGCTCGAGAACGTATGCGTGTTATTTGTGGTAGCAGCGCACGTTGAGATTAAGTCCGTCAATTTGAAAATCCCGCGTCTAGTTCATAATTCCCGCGTCTATTTTCCCTCCAAAACGAAACCGGAAATCCCATGATTTTCCCTCCAAGACAAGAGCGGAAGCGGAAACAAAAAATGTAAACATTCTCGATTATTAAACCTATAACCTCGAAGTTTCTCGTGTCTGCACCATTCTCTGACCATTCTGCACCTAACTTGTTATCTACATGGTTATTGGTTTTCTACATTTTCTATCAAACCGCGAAATAAATTCTGAACTCTCCCCTGGTTCTAGCCTAGCATTTATTTTTCTGAAAGATACAAGCTGACTCTTTGATGTAGGTATTCGTTTTTGTAGATTCTGCCCTCACCAAGTGTAATTGACAGCATTTTTGCTTTAATTTATCTCAGGCGGTAAGAAGGGATTGAGGTATTTTGGTTACGGCCATCAATTAATTTATATGTTTTCCATGTATTCACGGCCATCATGGTACTTAGATCATCAGTCATAATTAAAGATTGTCCCCAGGTGATCGACTACTCCAATAAGTTATCATTCGTTTCATCAGCTGAAATTTTTCTTCAATTGCAGATTTCTATCGAATAACAATAGTCATCAATGAACCGTACAATGAGCAATATCTGGATCATGAGAGCGTGGTTTTCAAGCAGCTGTCTGCGAACCTGTCCTCAGCAATTGATGACATCCTTCGCTTTCTTGGCCAGTTTTCTTCAAACCTCATTGCTGTATCGTAAGTAGAGAAGTGTTAAGTCTAACGTAATTTTGTGTTCATTCTAAAATCTCTGTTGACAAACCTGTACATTTCTTCGGATGCTGTTTTGAGTAAGATGGTAGTCATATGTCCAACATACCCAAGCAGATCATGACTAAGCAGTTGGTATGGTATGGGCATGTGCAGAGAATGGCTGATACCAGGTTGCCGAAGAAGGTGTCGGAGTGGGTCCCCCTAGGTAGGCCACAGAGAGAGCGTCTAGCCAAACAGTGGGTTGAGGGCATCTGTGGAGAGATGCCAGCGTCCGGAGGATCGCTACCATGACAGATCAGGGCGGGTAGGCGTTGCAGAGCGCCTTAGCGCGCCGTTAAAGCGGCCTATACATATACATACATGCTCCTAGACTTTTTGAACATAACTACGTATGAAGTGAAACACCTAAAATTTTATATCTAAGTAGGTGTGTTATGCTTGGTTGCTGTGGTTATTTATAGGTTCCCTCGGACCCCACTCTGAAGCTCTGCAAATCCCCTGAACCCTCCTTTGCAGCTCAGGGAGTTTAATAGATCCCTCCGGTCAGGCTGTCCTCTAGTAAAATCGAGGAACCTCTTTGATAAGGTGTCCTTCTGGCCCCCCTTTTAAAAGTTCCTAGTTCTGCCCAAGGCTGGATTTGCTCTCTATCTTTCTTTCTGTTTGTGTCTTCTGAAGATTTACCTCAAGGATCGCTCAAGATGCTCATAAGAAAACTTGATAGCTAAGTATCCAAACAAAGACTGACACAAGGGTACCTCCACTTATCGATGGTGAAACTACCAGACGACGTATCTTGGTTTGCGACATTGTAGACTTCCTGTCATACTTTATTTTTTACATGGAAAACCATTCAACATCAATTTTTGAAAACTACCATAATTTTTCTTTTCCTTGCAGAGAATACCCTGTGGAAATTTTAAGTATGAAATTTATTTGTTCTTCGTTAAACAAATAAAATGGGAGCAGAGATTTTTAAACACTGCAAACGAGAAACATGGTCTGGTGGTTTCACTGTCGATATACTAAAGATTCAATGAGAATGAGATTGAGTAATTCAGAGTATCATTGTTTAAAAAGTTTTTCCAGCGATACCTCAGTTATTGTATGAATTGAGGCATTTTTTGGTAAATGGGCGCATGAGACTTTCAATGCTGCTAAGATTGTGGAACGTGGTTCTCTAGTCGTAAGTAACTTTTCCAACAGTTTTGCTTTTGATTGTTCCCTGAATTTGCTCCGAGTTTTTTCTTGCTGTTGTAAAGAAGTAAGTTGACTGTGAATAAATTTCATCTGCCGCAAATGCTATAACTAATTGCACATCTATAGCAGCATTGAAAGCCTCATATGCCCTTTTACCAAAAAAGTAGTCAATTGTGGAGGAAGCCTGAGCCGAATTCTTGATCGTTGGAAATGCACATAAACACATTTAAACGGCCTAAAATAGGTATGGAGAAAACGAAGAAAAAAACATATAAATAAGATTAATGTATAAACGTGCCTCATCAGCCTTCCTTACGTATCGACAGTGTAAGTCGGAAATCATAGAACTTGGTTGCGATGTCGCAGACTTCCTGTCATACTTTCTTTTTTAAACGGGAAACTACGCAACGGCAACTCTTTGAAACTGCTGTGATTTTTCTTCTCGGTGCGTAAAAATTCTACAAAAAATTCAAGGAATGATTTCAATTTGTTCTCCTTTAAAAAAGTAACAAAGAGGCGGAAATTCTCTGACAATGCAAACAAGTTATGTGATTGCCGACTTATACCGTCGATATGTGATAGATGAAGAATTCAGGTATATTTTACTGTATTTCCTTTGCAACATTATATAAAAGTCTTGCCGTGTGAAATGAATAGGCTAGAAGTTCAACCTTCATGTGTATATTACGGCCATTCACTGTAGTATATTCATTAAAATTTATCAGTATCTATTTATTTGTTCAAAAACTTTCTGATAAAAAATTTAAAATGCGCTTTTTTCTGTGTTTACAGCCCTGTCCAAGACATGTTTTTTCTCAAAGCCACCGTAGATATTGAGGCAATAGACAACCATGACAAGTCAGTCGTTTATGATACACTGCACGATATCATTCGAACACGAAGAAAAATTGGCCACTTCCCTGTCGAAGAAAGTGGTTTCACATTTAGAGATTTTAATTGTAAGTTAATATCAATAACTTCTTTGACTGCACATGAGCTATCACCCGTAATTGGACTGCGTTAAGCAGAAAGGATTCAAGCCACGTCAGCTATTGCCAAATTTAATCGGGCAATTTAATATTTTACATGAAAACAGTTGTGCGGATTTTTGTGCAAATGTTAGTGAATTTTTGCATAGCACGAAGCCAATTCCTCTGAATTTTCAGAGAAATCCGCACAAATGTTCTCTTGTAAAAAATTAAGTTGCTCAGTTAAATTTAGCAATAGCTGATAAGGCTTGGTTCCTTCCTGCTGAATGCGGTCCAATTCTGGAACAGTATTTGGAGGGTTGTTCTCGTTAAAATCTGGATAAGCTGTTTTCTTAAAACCATTCCATTTTTGGGGGTTGCATCTCTCATATTGCAACATTTTGCTTGTGTTTGAAATTTTGCCAAGAATGCTCTCTGGTAAAAGAACTTGGCAGCAGTCTGACTTCCAAAAATTTTTAATGTTTAGCAAACTCTCTCTCTTTCTCAAAAGGAAAAAACTACAGGTGGCCTCAAAAGTTCACTCAAATAAGCCTGATTCATGGAAAGTCTAAGATAATCTGCTTGGCTTTTGCATTTCCGTGTGCCATGCTTGGGCACCTACTTCATTAAATTTTGGTACCCTTTCAACTTACTATCTTTTTTTACTTATTTATCTTTCTTTGTTTTGATTAATTTTGGGTTTTTTTTTTTCATTTTGTTTTTCTATACTTTTTTATTTCGAAAGGCAAACGTACAATCCTTATCTCCCCTGCAGCCTGATTGTTGAAATTTTGTGTTTGTTGGGTTGAAATGTATGACATAGGTTAAATGGCAAAGATTGATTGGTCGGTTATGTCTTATCGCTGCTTTGTCGTACTTTATTGGTTGGATTGGACGACAAATTAAAGGCATCTCTTAAGTATCCGTTAGTTTGTCGTCCATTCCACCCAACAAAGAAACGATAAGACATAGCCGACCAATCATGCTTCGCCATTTAACTTATGTCATCCATTTCCACCTGACAAACACAAAATTTCAACAATTAGGCTGCAGATACCGTACTTTAGCCTGGAATCTGCAAAAGAGTATCAATCCGATGCTTTATATAATGAATATGATAGCCATTTAGATTCTTCCTCCCACAATTTGTACATACATCTATTTTTTTCCAACCATTAATAATTTGCAGGAATTGAAGGCCTATATTCTGAATAATTTTAAAGACTTCTGGACCATATTTTTAATGGTGTGTATTAAACCATTTAGATGGCTTTTTGATGAGAAAAATCCGGTAATTTGAGTCATAAATGTTGGAGAGTGGGGACATCGAATGGTGGAGGCCAAATCTAGTCTATCCAAAAACACAGGTAGATTTGATGATTTGATGGGAGTTAGCCTAGTTGTTCAGGAATGGAGAGTTTTTAAAGTTGGAGGGAGGAGTGGGTAATCATTTCATGAAACAGCCATTACTCTTTGGAAAATGAAGTCTCTTCCTGGGAGAATGGTTAAACCTTTCCGGTCACCTCCCAGTCAACGATTCACCAGACAGGATAGAAATTAAGGACCAAAATATATGCCGAAATTTTACGCAGACTATGATAGACATTGACCATTTTTAACTTGTACGAGCTTTCAATGCCTACTTTGGCCTTAGTTAAGAACATGTGGTTTTTTGGGGAGCGGAATGTTTGAACTTACTGTTTTTGCTGTTATTTATGAATTTTCATCGCTCACTCAGTGATGTAATTTATGAAAGTTTTCGGTACATTTAACATATTCTGTGTAAAATTTTGATATGAAAACATGTGCTTTAATGCTGAATTTCTAACTCTGTCATTGTGCCACTGTTTTTTTTTTTTTTTGTTTTTTTTAATTTCCTACCTTGTAGGTATTATTTTTTTGTTACTTTTTGGTGATTTTTTTAATATTATTTTTCCCTATATTATTTTTCCATTATTATTTTTTGGTTTTGTTTCTTTTTTTGTTTATTTATCAGTGGGTACACCTGGATCTTGCACTGCCAATCAGATTTTTTGCGTTCCATCTGACACTTGTTTACCTGTAAGTGCTAGGTGTAATTCAACTCAAGAATGTTCTGATGGTTCCGATGAATTAGGGTGTCCCACAAGTAAGTTTTTCCCCCCCTTTTTTGGTTTCTCTTCCCATTCATCTTCTGTTTTACTTTACAGCTACACGAGTAAACATTTTGAAAAAAAAGATATGTGTTTTAGCAGGTTTTGAAAGTTTTCAGGCAGCATCAGCATTCCAGGTATTCATCAAGACTATTAAAAATCTGCCCTATTTTTCGTCTTGCACCTTAAGGAACGTATTTTGTCTGTGCTGTTTCTGTACTTTCACATGCATTTTACTTTTTCAGAGAAGAATAGTCTTATGAACAAGTTTATGAACTCCAGAGTCTTTTCTCACATGGGTAAAAAAAGCAATAGAAATATTAGGAAAATTCATTTGACACGGTTCTCCTAGAGGTAAATAAAATGTAAGTAAGAAATAATGAAACAACGCAATCAAAATACATTTCTTTGTGTGTGAGACAACAAATTTTTGACTAAATGAGCTGCATTTCAAGTCAACAAATTTTTAACCTTCATGATTTTTTTATACTTTGTAATCAACTTTAAATGAAGACACTTTCCATGATGCACAGACTCTATTATCACTTAATGACCTGTAAGTTTCAATCATTATAAGTATTGTAATTCTATGACTTTTGCAATGGACCCAATGAAAAATTATAAGTTGATCTTGTAAATGTAATGAAAGTCAGCTTCTAAAATCCTGACAAGTCCGGGAACTATTAAAATATTGAAGTCTCCATTTACCTGAATTTCCTTAATTAACTATTTTATCCATCCTCATTCCCATTCCTTTTACATGATATGAGATTCCTTTTACATAATCACTTCAAATAAGTATGAAATCCGTAAGGTTACTTTTGACATAATAGTTTTGATAAATATGATTGGGTATGTTACTTACTGTGACCTCCCTCTAGCAAGTTCTCATAAGGTAGTTAGGCTGTTTTCACTATTGTAACAAAGTTTGTAAGAAGTTAATAAATAGACTATGATAGTATTAATGATCTGTCAACGTTTTTAGCCTCCTACAGCAATGTAGCATGCAGGATTTCCAATAAAAACCAGGATCAAATCAAAGAATTTATGAACAACCCTTGAGCTAAATTGTTATCCGATATTCTTTGGCCTCGGAATCTTTACGAAGTGTTTAGATTAGATTCAAATACTTTCTTAGTTAACGCCAGCATATTGTTTCACTTGAAATGATAACTGCACGGCTCTAACTCAACAACTCTACCTCAAGCAACATGTACATAAATCTTCATCAAAATTCCACATCATTGTGAAGTCCAAAGTTTTCAAAATTTTCCTTCAAACAAATATACATTTTTTGAGGAATGAATCGCTTTAAAAAAATATAATTTTGAAAGTCATTTTTTTAGTTTTCCCTCAAGTTAAGAAGATAACTTTTGTAGAAATCGTTCACTGCTATATCATCCTTTAAATCCTAATCTAAACTTTTCTCTCATCGTTCAACCTTACCCTCCTACCCTGCTAAGACTGGTCAATTTTAAACTCCAGCGGTGCTCAGGTCTTCTTTCGGAACAACTCAAGTTCAGCCAACAACGCCCTCACTTGCTCAGCGACCACCAGAAGATCAGTGTCGGGCTGATGACAAGGTCAAGTGTGGGGATGGGTCATACTACATTTGTAGAGACCAATTGTGTGATGGTCACGTAGATTGTCCTGATGGAGATGATGAAGAAAACTGTCTGTCGCCCACACCTATTTGTAAGAGAACAGATTTATTTGCTTGGGTCCCTGTGGTTGATGGATTATGTCAAGCTGTCTCTGCTGTCTGTTCAACTAACTTCTCTGCATTATCGTTGCCTCAATATTAGCTTGGATATTTCATATGGCTTGAAGTTATTACAGAAATTCTGTTTGAATAGGTAATTGTATATCCGCATCTCTTCAAATCTCTGCACTTCGTCTGATAATCCTCAGTGCAAATTCATTTACCATCCAAAACGAAAACACATCCCTTCTATGCCACATGATATGTCCATGAACAATTGCTCTTTCCGATAACTTCAATTAATCTTATAAGAATAATCTTTCCTCTCTCTTGTAAATTTTGTGTATATTTAATTTATGCTTGTGGCATTTTTGCGCCAAATCCTAACTACTTCAAGTGCCATTTAATATTAATTTTTTAGAAGTTATTACTTTGAAACTTTTTTTATGACAAAATCTTTAGCTGGTAGATGGTGATAGTTTTATATGAAAATTTGATATGATGTAGTGCCAGGCACATTTGGTTGTGGATTGCAGTCAAGAGGTTTCAGGTGACCATGTGCTGAACTTTAGACTGTGACTTATTTTATGTCGATCTATAGTTAGGTGTTGGTACTTTATTTTGCTACCACGTACTGTGTGTTGTACACATGAAACGTTAATTTTTTAGCCAAGAAGAAGGTGAGAGAAGGTAAAAGTATGCAGCAAATTTTACACAAATTCCACTTATTCATGTGAGGTAACAGTTTTTAAACTATGAGTCACTTCTCAGGCTTATTTATACTAAGTAATACCTACAGAGTTGCAACTTCCTCCTGTTCCATGAATTGGCCAAAATATTTCTGTATTTATTGACAAAGGTCTAAAAATGTTATTTGGAACTCGCTTGATGTCCATCGTCCAATTTGCAAAAATTATTCTATGTTATGATACTGTTTTGATAAATTTAATATCCAGAAAAATTTATCAATATAAAATCATATCAATCCGTATCATTAAAACTTATAAAACTCAAAGAAATATTAAGCTAATGCTGTTTTTAGAGAACTCTTATTTCTGTGCAAAAATTGGATTTTCCCAAAATAATTTTTATGCATATTGTACATTTATCATGCTTTTAACTCTCTCGCTTTTCAAAATAACTTTGTTTGTATATGTTCTTATGTACCTACATATAATATTTTTAATTAAATACTTGATAAGTATAATTATGAAGATTTATCCTGGATGGTACTGTGAATGTGGAAGAGTTCCAATTCAGGTGTAAACAGCACCGAAATCTTCAATTATTTAAAGTAAATTATAGCTTTCTGTCTGCAATAACTCATGTGATAATTATAGGTACTCAGTGAATATTGTTCATCGGAAGACATCCATTGTCACTAGTTGATATTTGTAACGGTGAAAATTGCCCTACTCTGTGCAGGAGTTTCGTTTCTGTTTTTACAGTTATTTTCCCCAGTTTTGACCTTTTGCTGACAGAGCTCCCCCTTGTGTTTCTTTTTAGATGTGTAGTTCATCAAATGGCAACAAAGAATCATTAAATTCGTGTATGCAGTTCAAGATTTTTAAAATGATACTACTACATTTAGAACCAACTAGTCCAGAGGTCACTTATAACACCATGACCTTCATTTAGTTTGAAGTCTCATAATCTAAACGAGACTTTTTTTATGTCTTCCTTGGGCCAATTGATCTTCACACTTTATGGCAGTCTAGCAACTTGAACCGTCTTAATATGCTTTCATTGTCACAAGTCATAATTATAAGTCATGAGGCTAATTTGCAGCACTGTCAAGTCTGTTTAAATACTTCTGAACTTGATATAAGTAGTTCAGGAACAGAAGTCCTAACTTTAATATAGGTTGAAACCAGCCTCATCCTTTATCTTATAGACACTCTTGGCTTTGAATAAGAACTGCCTCTCTGAAGAATAATATGGAGACCACACATTGACTGTGAAACTGTAGGAATGAGACTCTTGTTCGTGATGTTTCGAAATCTTAGCTCCTATTTTGTTTTACTAAAGGAGAGTTAGCTCTCCTTATATTTCCTACATGATTGCTTGATATTTCATCGATTTTTCTTGACACAGAAAAGAAAAACCAGGAAAGTTTTTAAGAAATAACATTGAGCATTTTTTCTCTTAAAAAATGAAGTATGATGGAAACTGGGAAGTCTACAACGTTGCAAACGAAGATACGCATCCCTACAGTTTAAATTGATAGGTTTCTAATGAACAACTCAATGTAGATATTTTAGAAAAGTTTCCATAATTTTTCTTTCTTTGCTGTCCATTTCTTTCGATGAGCAATAATTTTATTCTTGTTCTTTTCAAAGAATAAAGTGCTCTATCTGAATTTAATTATTGTAAATAGGCTGTAATGCTGTACATAGATATACTGCCTTGTCTTGCTGGAAAATTCAATTATACCTAAAATAAGTCAATTCTGTGAAACAAAAATTGACTCTTCCACTGAATTCTGTGAGTGCTAAGAAAGCATATTGTTCTGTAGGGAACCTTTTTGCCTTGTGTTGCTGATATGATATTCTATAAACTTGTCGGGTTGATGTCTCGAAAAACAATTTTTATCATGAAAGTAAGAATACTTTCATGGAAATCTGTCTGAAGAAAAAAACAAAAACACAAACATCCACACGCATTTTTCTATTGTTTTTGAAATGTTTATCGATACGAGTTTTATTTTGAAAGAATGTCATATTACCAACACTTCTTCAAGTCCTGATTTAGATTGTATATTTAAGTGCTCTTAATGAGTGAAAAGTCAACGCTACATTAAGAGTATTTTTACAATCTATGAAATATGAAATGCCAATTTTCCAAACACTACACACTTACCCTTCTGTAACAAGTTTCACATAATATTATCAAATCCTTCAGTGAAATTTTTGATTTTTGTATTCATATCTTAATTATTTTTTTCAGCTTGCTCTGCTGAGGAGTTCCTATGTGATTTGACCAGGTGCATCCCAAAGCAAAAAGTGTGTGATGGACAGCATGATTGTTCGGATGAAACTGATGAAGATTCGGAGCATTGTTTGCCTCCAGAACCAGTTGGTGAGTACAGAAAAAGTCTCTTTCTCCTGTTTTCTCACTCTTAATGTTTTCAATTCATATTAAATATTCACGATGCTAGCTGCAGGCTCGCTCTCGAAGGCTTGACGTTTTATTTTTGGTAAACGAGCAGCACCAAAAAATTCAATAACAGTTTCCTCGAATTCCCCGTTTTTCGTCCTTGAACTTTGAATTTCTACCAAAGAATTATTTTTTTTTAAATTTTTGGTTGTGCTTCGCGTCAAATGATGTCAACTTTACTCTTCTAAGGGAACAGAAAGAAACCAAGCCACATCAGCTATTGCCACTTAAAACTGGGAAATTTAATTTTTTTTATGAGAGAACGTTTGTGCGGATTCCTTTGAAAATTTTAAGGAATTTGCTTTGTATAATGGAGATATTGAAATTTGCCTGAAAATCTGCACAAATGTTTTCATATAAAAGATTAAATTGCCCAATTAAATTTGGGAATAGCTGATGTGGTTTGTTTCCTTTCTGTTAACCGCTGTCCATTCAGGTATTTCATTTTTTTCTTCTTCCCAACATAAGGCTCATCGACAGTGAAACTGCAGAAACCAGAATCTTGATTTTCGACGCCGCAGTCTCCCTATTAAACTTTTTATCTCTCTAAATGGTAAACCACTCGGTGTGTGTATGTGCATCAGTCGCTTTTACAGCGCACTAGGGCGCTCTGCGACGCCTAACCGCCATTGGAATCTGTCAAGACATACATCTTCCATGTCTGCCATCTCTTCATCTCTTTTTGATGCCTTCTATCCACCTCTCAAGTGGACGCCCTCTTCGACGCCTCCCTGGAGGAACCCACTCCAAAACGTTTGTCGTCGGCAATCTGGTATTGGACATTATCTGTACATGCCCCTACCATACCAACAACTTGGTCATGATATCGTACAAAATTGTCTCTCCAACACTTATGATTTCTCGGACACGTTCAACCACTAAGTATCATTTCTCGAAAACTTCCGTGATTTTTCTTCGCCGTGTGAAGAATGTTCCGTGAAAATTTCAAGCCGTAAAGTTGGTTTGATCTTCTTTTAAGAAATAAAAAAGTATCAGAGATTTTGAAGCACCGCAATGGAGACGAGATACGCGGTTTTGCCGTTTCTTTTGTCGATACTTTACCCTCCTACGTCTCGTTCTCATCAGATTTTGTGTTCCTGCCGCCCAACGGACCGATTCTTGAAATTGATAGACAAAGCGATAGACAAAGAAGATCTATGGAGTATGGAACGATCCTATTGGTTGAAATAGGTGGTTCCCATAGACTAAAGGGGAAAATGATGGACTTGCTGAAGGATCTCTCGTGGGTTGCCGTTAGTTAGTCTTCCGCTTCCCCCAATAGGATCCCTCCATATCCCTTTAGTCCTCTTTGTCCATTGGTTTATCTATCAATTTCAATAATCGGTCCGCTACGATGGAAATAATGACGTAATTAGCAAAACTCATCAAAACTGGCGATGGACGTGGGCCATTGAGCTACCGTTCCCTGCTCTCGGAAGCCCGGTAGCGTGGAGTACCTCATCTCGGCATTGTGTGTTAATTAGCTTCGCGGGCCGATACCGAGATGTGAAACATTGTAGCCGTGGGGCGGCCTTGAACAGGGGCCCAAGTCGCGGGTCCTGGGGTCTCATCCCGTTGCTTCCTTTTGTTTTTCTCTTCTTGTCTCGTGTCTCTCTTCCGAGAACCTTGCGCAAGTTCACGATTGTGTCACGTCCTGACGGCAAGAGCACCCGGCTTCGGAAAAGTCCCAATGAGTGAGGCAAAAGCATCCAATGCTCAATTCGTCACCTTCTGGTCAAAGTATCACAAACGCCATGCGACGTTTAAAAATTTCCACCGCCATTTTACCTTTTTACAGAGAAATTTTTCGACGACGCTGTCCGGAAATTTTACAGAGTTTTCTTTGAGCTGCTGATACAATTCAGTGAAATTTTCTAACAGATTCAACCAACAATGGAGATGTTGCATGTGTGTGGAATTTGCGGTTTGACTGTTCATTCTTATGTAAAAGTTTGCGAGAAACACGATGTTGCCACTGGTTTCCTCTGTAATCAACTCCTAAGCTCAAAAAAAGCTCTCAAGTTGAGACCAAAATGGAGGGGATATCCCACGTTATCCTGAGAGTCCACCTCTACATCAAGACAAACTCTCCATGCAAAGATAGGGAGCAAATACATTGACAGGGCTGCCACTTTATTTGGAGACTAAAACTGAAAACACGGCATGACTGCTAATGTATTTGCTCCCTATCTTTGCATGGAGAGTTTGTCTTGATGTAGAGGTGGACTCTCAGGATAGCTTGGGATATCCCTCCATTTTGGTCTCAACTTGAGAGCTTTTTTTGAGCTTTAGAGTTGATTCCAGAGAAAACCAGTGGCACCATCGTGTTTCTGGCAAACTTTTACCTAAGGATCAACAGTCCAATCGCAAATTTCTCACACATGCAACATCTCCATTTCTCCGTAAAAAAATAATATGGCGGCGGAAATTTTCAAACGTCACATGGCGCTTGTGATACTTTTGCCGGAAGGTGACGAATTCTAGAGCCGGCAGTCCAAGAAGATGAGAGCGGGATTTTCTCAGATTTTTCGACGAATGATAGAATCATGGGAATGTTAAGTTAGTGTTAAGTTAAATGGACCTGTGATAGAAGAAGGAATTGGTTTTAGCACGTAGATAGGATGGAGGATGTGAGGCTAGCCATGGTCGTCGGACGATCTAGATAGAAAAGGATGCCCGCGCTTCAACGCCGAAGAGAAATGGACGGAACTAGGAGAGCCTCTCTCCAGAAATCTAACTGGCTCCCAGAGGAATGTTAGGGGTTTTGCCAAATAAATCATAACGTAGGCACCTTCAATCTTTGAAATCTTAATTCGATCAAGTTTTCGAAGCTCCAAAAGAGGGACCAGCTCAAAATTGCCCCTGAGACGACTCAATTTTTCAAAATTTTCCCGTAGAGGCTCTTCAAGTCGCATCTGGTTTTTGGAGCTGGAGAAATCACCCTGGAAACGACTGGATCATACTAGGAAAAAGGCACTGCTCAGTCGTGAATTATGATCATTTCAGAATCATCATGCACTGAAAAAAAAAGTCACGGGCTGTTTAGATATACCGTCCGTTCCGAGCTCAGAGGCCGAAAGTTCCGGGCGTTACGCCTGGAACTTCCGGCCTCTGACCCCGGTCCGCGGAAGGTATGTCCATATAGCCCGTAAGTACGACTTCCACTGCCGGAGTGTTTTTTTCAGTGCAGACATTTGGGATCGGACGTTAGTTAGAGAGGTGCGTCGCCGATGTGACGGCCATTCATGTGTTGATCATTTCGGTGATGCACCATTGAACCCCTCTGTTTGCCCTCTGGTGCCAAATGTATGATAGTTCTGGAATGATCATACGTAATGTCTGAGCAGTGCCTTGGAGGAAAAAATAATTTAAATGCATGAAATCAAATAAAAAGTGAAGTTGGTCGTCGAAGTGACCGAAAGCCCACATTTTCCTACCAAAATTCTCCCGAAATCAATGTAAATTTTGAAAAAAGCTCGCTGCACGTATCAATATTGAGCTCTGTGAGATTTTTCAGTTCGGAAAATGTTTTGGCCAATCTTGTTAGCGGACGCTCGGAAGAGTAGAATAGAAACCCACTTATGTTAAAAAATTAAAAGCGGCTTTGCCTCTCTAGCTGAAAATGATCCGTAAGGCCTTTTCTCCACGGGACGTCTTATGGGATTCGTCCCAGGGAAAAATCTCACTTGCAAAGTTGGAAAAAATATTGAGGTCGTCAATTCTAATCACCGAGCCAACTAAGAGTCATTTTGGAGTCCGAGGAACGACTTAATAAGAAGAAGAAGACATTTTGTTGTGTTTTTTAACGTGAAAAAAACCCAGAAGTTTCATTCCTGCGATTCGAACTTGGGAAAAATCCCGTGAAACGTCCCATGGAGAAGGCGTAAGCATTTGCTCAGCTCAGCATCGCGATCATCCACTGGAAAAAAAACACATTGGATCTAGAGTCCAGACTTTTGAAAACATCGACGAGAAAAAATACTCTTGATTCAATCAGATCCAAGCTTAAATCAAGAACCAAACCTCTTAATTTGAGCGGATTTCCTTTTGATTTAAGTTTAAATCTGATTGAATCAAGAGTCCTTTTTCTTGTCAATGTTTTCAAGAGTCTGGACTCTAGATCCAATGTGTTTTTTTTTCCAGTGTGAGGACCCGTGCAAGTATAAATTGGTGATTTCCACCCCCCTTTTCCCTCGGGAAGGCTGCAATCGGGACACTCCGCCGAAGAGACTATACCCCCTCCCGCCGTAAGTGCGTTACGTCATGCTCAACTGGCCCTTTGGCGAGCTCGGCGTAACCCCGAGTCCGCGCGATTTTTTATCATCGGTAGTCATTGGCGCCAGTTAATGAATGGGCATTGGGCTCTTGGGCAGGAATCATGATTCATGAATGAGCGAGCAAGTTACTGCCGGAGAGCTCGATCGAGTAGGCGTGTCATGGGATCGGCTTAAATATCGTCATTGTTACCGATTAGCTCGGACTCTCGCGCGATTTGTTCGCGTATTGCATCAAATCGCCAAGGCGAATCGAAGCATTGCTAGACAACCAGGTACATTGTAAATATTTTAGACAGCCCGCATTGGCAATCTAAGAAATGGTTTTCGCAAATTAGGCTGGGACTCTTTGGTCTAGAGTACCTGTATACGGAATGAGTACGTTTTGCCAACTCAATCCTTTTACCACAGAAAAAGTGTGCCGCTCTCTGATTGGTCGGCTGTCATGGAAGCCCAAAGTTGGCCCAATGTAAACAAACCCCAGCCCCTCCACTCCTAATTTGGCCCAGTGGAAACAAACAAGATGGTGAAAAGTTTCTACAAAGTTCTAAACGCGATTTTGGGTGCGATAGACATTCTTTTACATTTAACTTGTGAATTGAATTCGGATCTAACTTCGATGAATATTTTTGCCGAAAATTAAGCTGC